GGAACTGGATCAGGGAAATTGAAAAGCTGATGGAGAAAGCTCCAATCCCACAGAAAAACTGGGAGATGATTCAAGGAGAAGGTCCAGAGGGACCCAAAAAATGACCCCAGAGGGTTCCAGAGGGGTTAACTCCACCAGGTACTAATCCAAAGGTCCCAGCAGCAGTGAAAATGCAGGAAACGGGCAATGGCTGCTCATGGTCCTTGGCTGATTTAATTCAGACCTTTCAGCACAGCCCCAGGAGTCACTTCTCACCCAAAGAGAAGTTTTATCTGTCCTGAAGAGCTGAGCCAGCACCAAAAGGGATCAGCAGTGCCAGAGCAAATGGAGCTGGGATCTGGAATTAGGAATCAGAAAATCCTGGAATGGGTTGGGTTGGAAGGGCCTTAAATCCCCTCTCATGCACCCCTCACCTCCCACTGGGCCAGGGTGCTCCAAGCTGCCCTTGGACACTTCCAGGGATTGCCCAATTTCCCTGGGCAGAAGAAACCTACTTCCACATAGAAATAATAAAGTTGTTATAAATAATTATTATCTATATAAAATTATAATATCCAAAAAGCAGTTGTTGCCAATAAAATCGGCTTCATGCAGTTTTTTTAATCTCCTAAAAGCGTGAAAAATAGCAGAGTAAGAGTGTGTGTGTCAGGTGGAAAGAGTTTCTGTCTCATCACAGCCCCCCTGATCTGTGCAGCTCTTGGCACTGGAATACTGGGGGAATAAAAAATTCCAAACATTTCAAATACATTTGGTCTCTCTCAAGTCTTTTTACTTCTCCCTGCCTTTGTTTGCCTTGTTTAGGAAAACCAGCTGGTGTTAATTGCACTTCATGCACCACCAGCATGAACAGCAGCCAGATATCAGGAATTGGAGCCTGATCCCAGGAATCCACTCAATTGTTTGGGGACAAAATTACATTATCACTCTTCAGAACAGAATAAAATGAGGGAGCAAAAGAAAAGGCAGGAAAGAGGCTGGTGGGGGGAAAGTGGGATAAAAATAAATTACAATCATAGAAAGAGAAACGGAGATATTAGAGAATGGAATTCCCAGAGCAGCTGTGGCTGCCCCTGGATGCCTGGAATGTCCAAGGCCAGGTTGGATATTGAGGCTGGGAGCACCTGGGACAGTGGGAGGTGTCCCTGCCATGGATGGGGTGGGATGGGATTTGGGATTTGGGATCTGTTCCAACCCAAACACCTCTCCCAGCCTTATTTCAAGTGGTTCCTTCACCTCAGTCATGCACAGGAGAAGGGATGAAATCCTGGACCTGGCACGGCTCTGTGCTCTGACTTGGGTTGGGATGGGAGTAGTTGGAGAGAAAAGGAAATATGGGGACAAAAACGTGAAATAAAATAATATTGATTCCTCCCCAAATTCACCCTGTAGAGCTGGAAATCAGGAGCTGTGGTTGTAGCAATTCCTCTCTCTCTAGAAAGGGAAGAAAATCAGGATATTTGCAAAGGTTTCCCATTTAACTGCAGGACAATGAGGACAAACCCAGCCCTGATGGAGCAGTGTGCCTGTCCCTGCTGTGAGGACACAGAGGGTGAGGCACAGCACAAATTCACTGCTCTGTCCTCTCTGGGCTTCTCCAGGCCCTTTTCCACCTGCACACAGGGAAGGGTCTCCCCTAATGACTGAGCCCACATCCCAAAGCCTCCCTGCGGGGCAGGGCTTTCTCCAGGCTGCTGCGAGCTGTGAGGGCTTTCAGCATTCCACAACTGCAGGAGTGTTCCCACTGGGATGTTTGTGGGGACACAGAAACCTCACTGCACACCCCTTGTGCCATCCCTGCTCTGCTGGGAAGGTTTTCTTCCAGCATCACGGAGGAGAAGAACCTTTAAAATCTGCTACCCTTCATGTTTCACATGGAGAAAACCTCCTCCCAACATCAGGAAAAAACACCTATGAAGGCTGCTGCTCTTCATGCCCAGTGTGGAGGGAAACCTGCCAATATCCAGGAGAAGAACCTCTAAAGGATGCTGCCCTTCGTAATTCATGTGGAGGAAAACCTCCTTCCAACATCAGGATAGAAGAACCCCTGAAGGTTTTTGCCCTTCATGTTTCCCATGGAGGAAAAGCTTCCAACATACAGAAGGAGAAGAACCACTAAAGGCTGCTGCCCTTCATGGTTCATGTGAGGGAAAACCTCTCTCCAACATCATGATAGAAGAACCCCTGAAGGTTTTTTTACCCTTCCTGCTCCACATGGAAGAAAACATCCCAACATCAGGAAGAAGAACCCCTGAAGGGTTTTGCCCTTCACGCTCCACGTGGAAGAAAACATCCTTCCAACATCAGGAAGGAGAACAACCCCTGAAAGGTTTTGGCCTTTGTGCTCCATGTGGGGGAAAATACCCCAGCATTCAGAAGAAGAACCTCTAAAGGCTGCTGCCCTTCATATTTCACATGGAGGAAAATCTCCTTCCAACATCAGGATAGAAGAACCCCTGAAGGTTTTTGCCCTTCAGCTCCACATGGAAGAAACCCTCCTGAACATGAGGAAGGAGAAGAACCCTTGAAGGGTTTTGGCCTTCATGCTCCACATGGAGAAAAACATCCCAACATCGAAAAGGAGAACCTCTAAAGGCTGCTGCCCTTCATGCTCCATGTGGAGGAAAAGCTCCTTCCAACATCAGGACAGAAGAAGAACCCCAGAAGGTTTTTGCCCTTCATGCTCCACATGAAAGAAAATATCCCAACATCAGGATAGAAGAACCCTGAAGGTTTTTGCCCTTCAAGCTCCATGTGGAGGAAAACATCCCAAACATCAGGAAGGAGAACCCCAGAAGGTTTTTGCCCTTCTCCACCCTAGACCATCCACAGCCCCATGGAGAGCTCCTGTCCCTGGGACACTGTGCTGACACCCTGAGCACCCCAGCTCGGAGCCAGCACTGTTCCACACACCCAGGGCATCCTGGTGGGATGCCAGCCTCGGGGACAGGGTGGCACTGGCAGGAGGCAGCAGCTCCCCCCTGCAGGGAGATCTCGGCTTGCACCAGGCAAGCCAATTTTATTCCCTGCACATCTCACAGAGCTTCTCACACCTCTTTGCACAGGGGTGTTTCCCACAGCACCCCAAGGTCCCTTCTGCCCTCTGGAGCTGTCCTGCAGGCTCTGAGCAGCCCAAGGGATTCCAGCTCCCCAAGCCCTGCACAGCCCAGCAGCACGGACACCTCCACACCCACGGGGTCCTTACCAAAGCCTCCCAGCTGCTCGGGGGACAAAGCTCTGCCAAGATCCTTGTCCGTGTGTCCTGCCCCTCTAATCTGCCCCTGTTCCAAGAGGGAGAGGAGTATTAATGCCAAAAACACGGGATCAGCAGCACCACAGTGTGCTGGGGTGTGAGGGGCAGCAGCACGTCCAGCTGGGGACTGTCACCTCAGGGACTCACAAGGTGACAAAAATGCTGGCCTAAGCACCGAGGATCTCAGGAAAACCATCCCATGCTTCCCCTGGAAGCTGTGGATGGAAAACCAAAGCATTGAGGTTGTTAGGATGGGGATTAGGGTTAAAGTTGAGCTGGAAAAGTGAGCACAGCTCCTGAGCGAGAAGGTGGGAACTCAGGTGAGCCAGGGTGTGAGCTCAGGTGAGCCAGGCTGGGTTTTGAGCTCAGGTGAGCCAGGCTGGGTTTTGAGCTCAGGTGAGCCAGAGTGTGAGCCCAGGTGAGCCAGGCTGGGTTTTGAGCTCAGGTGAGCCAGGCTGGGTTGTGAGCAGGAAGGGACAGCAGAGGGGACAGGAGCAGCAGTGCCCAGCACACAGAATGAGACATGGCAAACCATCCTGCACAAGGGTACCCAATAAAATGGAGTTTTCCCTCAAAACCTCGAGGCACTTCAACAACTCCACACCCTTTGGAAAACGGTCGGGCAGCTGCACAAAGAGCAAATTCTCTGTGACCTGAAAAAATGGGGAAATTTCTTGGCCAGAGGGGAAAATACCAACTGCTGTGGGATCTTTAATGCTCCAAAGGAAAAGGTACAACCATCCAGTTTTGGGCATATTTGAAACCCCAGTGTAAGGAATAACTTTCCCAAGTTGCTCCTCAAAACTGTTCCTGCCCTTTTGGGAAGAGCTGATCCTGCTCCTGATGTCAACCTGTGCTCCTGGGAATGTATTAAAAGCCACAAGAGCTTGATTTTAAGAATGTTAAAAGCTTCTCTCACAGGAGCTTTATAATCTGTGTGATTATTTCATACAGAGCTGCAGAGGAGGCCCCAGAGCTGCTCCAGGGCTGGAGCCAGGCTGGGAGAGCTGGGAATGTTCACCCAGAGAAGGGAAAATTCCAGGAAATCCTAAATGTCCCTAAAGAGGCTCCAGGAGAGCTGCAGAGGGACTGGGAACAAGGCCTGCAAGGACAGGAGCCAGGGAATGGCTCCCACTGGGAAAGGGGAGATTGGGCTGGGATCTTGGCAAGGAATTCCTGGCTGGGCTGGAATTCTCAGATTTGCTGTGGCTGCCCCTGGATCCCTGGCAGTGCCCAAGGCCAGGTTGGATCCACCTGGGACAGTGGGAGGTGTCCCTGCCATGGCAGGGGTGGCACTGGGTGGGATCTGAGGTCCCTTCCCACCCAAACCATTCCAGGGTTCCACACCATGACCTGAACTCCAGCTCCAGCTTGGAACACATCTGCAGGGGAAGATGTAATTCCATCCCCAGTGGAACATTCCAGAACTCTGCCTCTCCTCTCCTGCCACCCAGGGCCCTGCAGCCTCGAGGTCTCTAAATTAGCCTGGTTAATGAATTCCCCACCAATTAACGCACGAGGGAGAGTGGGAGTTCACAGAGCAGCCAAGGCACAGCACAGGAGGGGCTGGGTTCTGGTTCTGCTGCAAAGCTCGGGCATGCAGGGCCAGCCACACCCCAGGTGACAGCATTTGCTAGTTATCAGAACAGAGTTAAGTCAATTAAAAGGCATCAACATGCTCAACAATCCAAAAAACATCTCCCAAGCAGCTCCTTAGTCATGAAATCCAGAGATATAAAGAGTTACCCACTGCTATTGAGACAGCACTTATGACAGCTCCCAAGTAGCCCTGGATGAACTTGGATGTCGGAGAAGGCTTTGGAAAGAAAAACAAAACATATTTTCAATAAACAAACTTCTGGTTATTAATATTCAACCCTTTTTTTCCCCCCTTTTTTTTTTGTTTGTTTGTTTTGATTTTGGTGTATTTGTTTCAGAGCAGAGACAGGTTTAATTTTGTCATATTGTTCTGTGACACATGGGCTGTCATCCCAAGAGGCAAAAGCGAGGAAATCGTGGCCTCCTGAGCAAGGTCACAGGGAATGGAAAATTAATTGGCATCAGAAAATTATAATAATAGCAGCTCAAAGGAAGGATGTGAGTGAAATTCAGCAAATGGTACCAAATTAGCATTTCTACCCTGGAGTGCTGAACCCCAAACTCGCCACAGTCAATATTTCATCTGTGAAATGTTCTCTCAGTGAGCTGGATGGATTCCAGCTCAGCTTCCCACATCCCAACACAGGATGAATGGAGGCTGAGGAGAAGGAAAGGAGCAGGGACAGCCCCAGCACTTTCCAGGGAGAGCCCCACCAAGGATGGAGCAGGGACAGCTCCACCAAGGAAGGAGCAAGGACAGCTCCACCAAGGATGGAGCAGGGGCAGCTCCACCAAGGATGGAGCAGGGACAGCTCCACCAAGGATGGAGCAGGGACAGCCCCACCAAGATGGAGCAGGGACAGCTCCACCAAGGATGGAGCAGGGACAGCCCCATCATTTCCCAGGGACAGCCCCAGCACTTCCCACTGCCACCATCATGAAGAAAACCCCTGGGAGATGGGATCATGGAACTTCCTTGTGCTCCCCCAGCCCAGGCACCATTCTGCCCTGTTCTCTTTCAGATCCCAGCAAAACCATTCCAGACCAGTTGGGACCATGGACTGGTTCAGCTCCGAAGCCCTGAGCCTCATTTCTGTGCCTGCAGTGATTCCCAGGTCCTTGTGCTGGTTACACTGAGTTTAAACACGGGACAATGGCCAGTCTAGAAATCCCCCTGTGGGCACCCCAGAGGTTTCATGGCCAGGGAAAAGGCAGGATTGGTGTTTCTATGTGGGAATGCCCCAGGCCAGGCCCACAGCTGCCTCATGGCTGTGTGTAGGAATTGGCACAGCTGTGACTCAAAGTCAGCCAGATTTTACCCCAAAAGAACCAGGCATGAATTTTGAGCCCTGGGAATCACTTGTTTAACTTAGGGTGAGCTTGTGAGTTCCCCCCCAAGCCTTTGGTGTTGTTAGGCTAAGCTGTGCAAATCCTGCTCCCCTATTGGCTATGCCCTGTTATGTATCCCCTATATGTTACACTAAGTTCTGCTCCCCTATTGGTTACTTGTTTCCCCTATATGGGTATAGTTCCAGAATGTTCCACCCCCAAGTATATATTTTGTTGCTTCCCCTTTGTCTTAGGTCTTTGGATCCTGCCCCTCCTGCTGTGCTCGACTTCTCCACATTTGTTGTTTTTCACTCCAATATTAAAGTTCTTTTTGAGCAACTTCATTCAACCTGCTCCTTTTCATTTTCACCACCCTCAGTCCCTGGAGTCAGGAACCAGAAAGGTTTGTCAGCCACCTTCACCATGAAATCAGGAACCAGAGAGGTTTGTCATGGCCACCTTCAGTCCCTGAAGTCAAAGACCAGGGAGGTTTGTCACGGTCACCCTCAGTCCCTGGAATCAGGCCCCAGAGAGGTTTGTTATGGCCACCCTCACCATGAAATCAGAACCCAGGGAGTT